GGCCACAATACACATCTTAAAGAATCACATGACCAAGGGAAGCCCTGATAGATAACTGATGATGGTGGTGATTTAAAAGTCTTCAGCCAAGTAGGATGTTACTTGCAGGAGGGCACAGGTGATTTAGAGCTTGTATTCTAAACTGATCACTTAGGCATATTGATTATGGGGACTTCAGAAAGAGGCAATAGCTTCTTTAAAAAATTGGTTTGTACTTTACCAAGGAGTATACTGGAGTGAAAATAGACTGATCCAGAGCCTTAGACTGGGCTGTGGTATGAAAGCCAGATATAAACATGGCTGGCATATATGTCAAAGAGAAGCCTAGAAGGTCAGAATCAAAATATTTAACCACTAGTACATTAACCTTTTGGAGTTCACTGTGTCTGTTGATACTTGTGCTAAATTAGATTGTGTGCTCACCTTTCCCAGTCTTGAGCCTCTTTCACTATCATTGGGTCAAGAGGAGGAGACAGCTTGCACTGTTGGAAAGGAAAAGATTTAGCATCCTGAGTCTCCACTTCTTACATTCATTCTTGGTAGTTGGTTTTCCTGCTGGCTTGGGTGGGGGTGATAGCTGATGCCAAAACAGGGGTGGTGGCAAGTGTGCATACCAAAACAGGATGTGTGTGAAGAACTCTTTATGACCGCTAGTTTGGATCCTTGCTTGTGCCAGAATATGCAGTCCGTTCTCCGCACTCCACCACCCAGATTCTTTCTTTGATTCGCATAAACTTAGTTTTGGTGTTCATTGTCATGGTCAGTCTCTGGAACTGTTGACAGAACTCTTTGGTTGATGGTCTTTGTTAAAGGATTTTTATAGGCTTTTTAGTGTGTCAGCTAAAAACAGAAAGACAAAAAATGGAAGTCAAGCCCAGCCCAGTTAGCTCTCACCATTTGACTCCATACACCTGCTGTTTCTTTCAGAATGGTGATAAAGAATAAAAAAGTTATATCAGTAACAGCCCTTAAGTTTAACATAGCTCCTAGCAGATGGCAAAGCGTTTTTACTTTAATGCTAATAATTACCCATTGCAGCAGTTAGTATCATTGCCATTTTGCAGATGAGACTACTTAGCTTCAGAGGGATCATGGGACTTGCTGTAGGTTACACGGCCACTGAAAAATAGGCAGACCCAATCCAGGTTTTCTGGCTACAAACTCTGTAGTAATTCCTGAAAATCACAGTTTATAATGGTTCTTGTCCAGATGGGAATTTTTGACGATAGGCTGCTATGCTTTCGCCCAAATTTCAACTTTTAGAAATCTTTGAAAATTGAAGACGCTGGGTGTGGTAGCTCACGTTTGTAATCCCGGCACTTTGGGAGGTTGAGGTGGGTGTATCACTTGAGGTCAGGAGTTTGAGATTAGCCTGTCCAGCATGGTGAAACCCTGTCTGCACTGAAAAATTAAAAAATTAGCCAGCCGTGGTGGCAGGTGCCTGTAATCCCAGCTACTTGGAAGGCCAAGGCAGGAGAATCGCTTGAACCTGGGAGATGGAGGCTGCAGTGAGCAAAGATTATACCACTGCACTCCAGCCTGGGGGACAGAGCGACATGCCATCTCAAAAACAAACAAACAAACAAATAAATAAATAATACAACTATTTTTAAAAAAGAAAATTGAAAACAGCATCAAAGCAGGACCCATAGTCAGTGAGATCAGGTAGTAGAAGTGAGAGAGTAACCCTGTCATTTGTAAGTCTTTCAGTACAAGTGCTTTCAGGTTGCTGTTATATGTCTACTAGTTGTGAAATTTGAAGGCCATGGGCATCTTTCTACTTTTGTCATAATAACCCTTGGGTATGGCTGTGGACGGTAGGCAGCCAGGGTCGGTGAAGGATCCCAAGATGGCTGGGCGAAAACTTGCTCTAAAAACCATTGACTGGATAGCTTTTTGGGAGATCATACCCCCAAACCAAAAGGCCATTGCTAATTCCCTGAAATCCTGCAATGAGATCCTCACCTCTAGGTTGGCTGCTTTACCTGAGAATCCACCATCTATTGACTGGGCTTACTACAAGGCCAATGTGGCCAAGGCAGGCTTGGTGGATGACTTTGAAAAGAAGTTTAATGCCCTGAAGGTTCCTATGCCAGAGGATCGATACACTGCCCTGGTGGATGCTGAAGAAAAAGAAGATGCGAAGGCTTGTGCTGAGTGGGTGTCTCTCTCAAAGGCCAGGGTTGTAGAGTATGAGAAACAGATGGAGAAGTATAAGAACTTAATTCCATTTGAACAGATGACCATTGAGGACTTGAACGAAGCTTTCCCAGAAACCAAATTGGACAAGCAAAAGTATCCCTATTGGCCTCACCAACCAATTGAGAATTTATAAAATTGAGTCCAGGAGGAGGCTCTGGCCCTTATATTACACATTCTGGACATTAAAAATAAAAGTAATTATACAGTTAAAAAAAAAATAATAACCCTTGGGTATGTCAGAGGTTCTTGATTTCTTTTGTGCCATGTATTCTTCATAGTCTTCCACGTCCTCTGACAGTTGTCTAAGCAAGCACCTAAAAGTCACACAGTTTCAGGGAGCTATAGCTGCTCTAAAGTGGGTACCGTGTGCCGCAGGTAAAAGAGATTCTGATCTACCGGGATATGGAATCCTAAGAAAAATTCTATCTAGTGCTAGTGTCAACCCTTACACACCAGTCACATAGCCAATCTCTTCTGTCACTCAGTGTGTGAGGGACCCTCTCCATTCCCTGCACTGCCAGTGAACCTCTGTGCTCCTCACCTTTTGGATGCTAAGACCCAGGACTGCATTTTTGTAGATGCCTTCCATTGAGTGATTACCACGCCCGGATAAAAACGTCAGAGGGTGGAATCCATCCCATCTGAATTAGGCCCTAGCCAGGGTGTGAGGAAAATGGCAAAAAGCCCAGATTCTCTGACTCCCAGAAAAATAATACATTGCAGTGATCCTGAAAGGAGTCCAGGAAATTCAGACTCTTTACCCACACAACCAACAGAGTTGACATTTTGAATCAAGCTATTGAAAATACTCAGTAAGTCCTCTTTTACCATGTGTAATTTTAAATCAGCACCTGGTGTTAGAGAATAAGCAAATAAAATCCTTACTTTCTCACCTCTTCTTGGCCTTGGTTAAATTAGGGAAGCAGTGTTTTTCAAATTTAGTGGCTATAACATTACCCAGAGAACTTACTAAAGATTATAATTCTTGCCAGGTACAGTGGCTCACGCCTGTAATCCTAGCACTTTAGGAGGCTGAGGCGGGCAGATCACCTGAGGTCTAGAGTTTGAGATCAGCCTGGCCAACATGGAGAAACCCGATCACTACTAAAAATTAGCTGGGGCCGGGTGGGTGTGTGCGGTGGATCACACGAGATCAAGAGATCAAGACGATCCTGGTCAACATGGTGAAACCCCATCTCTACTAAAGATACAAAAATTAGCCAGGCATGGTGGTGCACGCCTGTAATCCCACTGCTAGGGAGGCTGAGGCAGGAGAATCACTTGAACCCAGAAGGCGGAGGTTGCAACAAGCCGAGATCATGCCACTGTACTCCAGCCTGGGCAACAGAGCAAGGCTCTGTCTCAAAATTAAAAAAAGCTCTCTTAGCGCCATCTTGGCTCCTGTGGACGCCTGCTGGGAACAGGACTTTTAAAAGGAACTGTCTGGAAGGCTGTGGTCCAAGGCTATTTTTGCTGGCTGTAAGCGGGGTCTCCGGAACCAAAAGGAGCACACAGCTCTCCTTAAAATTGAAGGTGTTTATGCCCGACATAAAACAGAATTCTATTTGGGCAAGAGATGTGCTTATGTATACAAAGCAAAGAACAATACAGTGACTCCTGGTGACAAACCAAACAAAACTAGAGTGATCTGGGGAAAGGTAACTCGGGCCCACGGAAACAGTGACATGGTTTGTGCCAAATTCCGAAGCAACCTTCCTGCTAAGTCTGTTGGACACAGAATCCGAGTGATGCTGTACCCCTCAAGGATTTAAACTAATGAAAAGTCAATAAGGAAATGTGGATTTGTGCTCTTGTTTGGGGAAAAAAAAAAAGGCACATGCCTGTAATCCCAGCTACTCAGGAGGCTGAGGCAGGAGAATCACTTGAACCCGGGAGGCAGAGGTTGCGGTGGGCCAAGATCGTGCCATTGCACGCCATCCTGGGCAACAAGAGCAAAACTTTGTGTCAAAAAGAAAAAATGGTAACCCTTAAGGCCTAGGAATTTGCATGTCAAGAGATTCTTGCACACCACAGACATTTTCATGCAAATCGTTCTTGAACTACACTTGGAGAAACACTGGGCCATGGACTGCTGATCCCCTTTTATTTTTAGTATAGTATAGAATATTTTTACTTTCTTCTTCCTAAGAGTTCTGAAGTGGAGGATTGCCCTGTCCACATGATTCAGTAGTTAATGCAAATCTGAGACAGATGAGGCTACTGCATATAAGATGACTGGGTACAGAAAAACTCTGAGCATTCATCTCCAATGCTGGGAAAAGCCTGGCTCTCCGGCTTCTCTTGTAGCTTTATACCATGTCGCCGGTCAGGTTTGGCAAGTCAGTTAACTGCCTAAAGCTGCATGACAAACTCTAATGCTCGGGCCAAAGGATGTGGCAAAAGACTCAGTTAACTTTGGATGGAGTTTGGTTATACAGATACTCCCTTTTCTTCTGTGCTGAAGGGTAAAGGAATAGGAGAATTTGTGCCCCTTTGACACATTTTCTGAGGTTAAATCTGAAGCCTTCCCTGCTGTCCCATTGCCAATATTAGAGGAAATGACAAGGCAGCATTTATTTCCAAAGGAATAGCTAGGAAAAGATGGCCAAATGTAAAAAACTAGATTAAAATCACTGTTGTTTGTTACTTGGTAACCCATCACACATTTTGTTTCATCTTTGTGGTTTTTTTTTTGTTTTTTGAGACAGGTTTAGCTCTGTTGCCCTGGCTAGAATGCAGTGGTATGATCTTGGCTCACAGCAGCCTTTGCTTTCTGGGCTCAAGTGATCCTCCCACCTCAACCTCCTAAGTAGCTGGGATCACAGGGGTGTCCCACCACACCCAGCTAATTTTTTTTTTTTTGAGACAGTGTCTTACTCTGTTGCCCAGGCTGGAGTGCAGTGGTGTGATCTTGGCTTTTTGCAACCTCCTGGGTCCAAGTGATTCCCCTACCTCAGCCTCCCTAGCAGCTGGGATTATAGATATGCACCACCATGCCTGGCTAATTTTTGTATCTTTAGTAGAGTTGGGGTTTCACCATGTTGACCAGGATCGTCTTGATCTCTTGACTTCATGGTCTACCTGCCTCAGCCTCCCAAAGTGCTGGGATTACAGGCGTGAGCCACTGCACCCACCCAGCCCCAGCTAATTTTTTTTGTAGAGATGAGGGTCTCGCTATATTGCCTAGGCTGGTCTTGCACTCCTGGGCTCAAGCAGTATTTCCTCCTCGGCCTCCCAAAGTATTGGGTTTATAGCCGGACGTGGCGGCTCACGCCTGTAATCCCAGCACTTTGGGAGGCTCAGTCTGGTGGACCATTTGAGACCAGCCTAACCCAAATAAAGAAACCCTGTCTCTACTAAAAATACAAAACTAGCCAGGCGTGGTGACTGCATGCATGTAATCCCAGCTATTCGGGAGGCTGAGGCAGGTGAATGGCCAGGAGGCAGAGGTTATGGTGAGCTGAGATTGCACCATTACACTCCAGCCGTGGCAACAAGAATGAAACTCTGTCTCCAAAAAAAGAAAAAAAAAGAAGTATTGGGTTTACAACCACAGTACACCTGGCATATCACGCACTTTGCTGGGGAGAATAGGTACTTGATCATGGAAGTGTCTTTTCTATACTCCTTTCCCCTCTGTTGCCTCTTGCTGAAATGTGTGCAAATAGATTTGGAACCAGAAGAACCAGAGTCTAGTCTTCAGGCTGTAGTTGATTAGGATGTGATCTCAGGCAAGTCATTTCCCAACTGTAAAATGTGGAAAATAGTAAGTACTAAGAAGCACAAGTGAGGTAATTTCTAACACATCTTGGAGGTTATCGGGGGAAAAACAAAGAGACCATTTTCAGCAAATCTGTTTATTTATGATACCCTCAGAAGCCTGTTTGTCAGCATCAAGGTTCACAGGTACCATTCTACTTTATTTCTTCTCATTAAAGTTCACAGTTTTACAGGATCCTGTGTGGCTTTGTTTCCACCCACTCTTCTTGTTTCCTGCCACCCTGGCCTCCTTGATGCCACACAGGCAGGATCCCACTGAGAGCCTTTGCATTTGCTGTTCTCTGCTTGGAGGGCTCCCCCGCCAGAGGACTACAGAGTGCACTCCCTCTTTTTACATCTCTGCTCAGTTACTTTATTTATTTATTTTTAATTCTTGGAGACAAAGTCTCACTTTGTTACTTAGGCTGAAGCGGAGTGGCTCAATCTTAGCTCATCACAGCCTCAACCTCCCAGTATCAAGCAATCCTCCCACCTCAGCCCCCCAAATAGCTCGGACTACAGGTGCTTGCCACCATGCCTGTCTAATTTTCGTATTTTTCATAGAGACAGTTTCACCAGATTGCCCAGGCTGGTCTTGAACTCCTGAGCTCAAGTGATCTCCCTGCCTTGGCCTCCCAAAGTGCTAGGATTACAGGCATGAGCTGCCACACCCAGCCAAATGTCACCTCAGAGTCTTTCCCTGACCCCTCCATGTAAAATGACCTCACCCCGTCACTCTCTGTCAGTCATACCCTGCTTTATATTTCTTCATAGCATACACCACCTCCTACTGTGTATTTGTTTTATGCATATGTTTCTTCAGTTGAGTGTAAGCTCCACGAAAACGTTAATAACCCAACACCAAAACAGGGTCCAACACATATAGGCTCACAGATATTTATTGGAAGAGTGAATGAGTAAGGAACCGTTAGCACATCTGTAAGTAACCTCTTAGGGGACGCATACCTCTGACTCCACTTTCTCACTTCTTGTTCACTCCTTAATCTGTTGCAGTAAGTGTCTACTTCCACCATCCCACTGGCATAGCTCTGACACCACTGGCCATGTCGTAAGCATAAGTGATCCTCTGGAAACTTTATAAGCCTTATTTTGCCTGACTTTTCCACTTTTAGCATCTCTGTCTTTCTGTCTACAGGCTTTTTCTTGAAGCTTACTCTGCCTCACCTCTTCCTGCCTCTGTGACCCTCCTCAGATTCCTGTGCTGGATTCTCCTCCATGCCTATCCTTGAGTTCTGGGGTTCTCAAAGACTGAGCACAATCTCTCCCCCACTGCCCTAAGCTTATTCGTCTGGATCACCTGTCTGGGAGTGTTAATGTCACAACCATTTACCCAGTCACTCCATTTTGTTTAAGTGGCCTCTTGATCATTACTAGAGTGATCATAAAAATGCAGTCCTTGCTATTTTACAATTTTATTTGAAGAATTAA